TAGGGAAAATTATTATAACAAAGTGAAATTTTGGGAATTTTAAAATAGAATATTTTTTTATATAAAAAAAATTGGCGGACCGTACCATTCATCCAGTTCTTCTCAGGTTGGAAATGGAAAGCACTTCGTTGCCATGAAAACATTGCGTTTGTCCAATCGAACGAGACTCCGTCTTCCCCTCCCCGATACGACGCCGGATTCGACTTCGCCGATACTCCCTCCCTTACCCCTCTCGCCACGTCATCATATGATGATGATGATGGGTCATGGTCATGGTCATGGCCTTGGTGAGGTGACGTCATCACCATCATCATTACGAGGGCGACGAACGAGGAGATGGTAATGAGAGAGAAGATGATTGAGGAGAGACCCTTGAAGGGTCTCCGTGAAATGGTAGGAGATTCGCCGGCGGTGGGATTTTCCGGCAAGGGAGTGTATGCTGCGGCCAGTTCTGGATCTCGCGGACCGTCGTCGTTTTGCCCCATTGGCCTTTTCTTCTTTGAAGGCTCAATTATGAGAGAGAGAGAGAGAGAGAGGGAGAGATTCGTACGGATACGATTGTGTGTGAGTGAGTGTGTGGAGGAGACTCGGTGACGATTATAAATAATTGCTCTGAACGTTTCCCTTCCATGAAAGCTATGATTAAAATCATGCAATTATATACTCTAGTTTTATTTCATAATCAGACTTAAAGGAGCATTATCAAAAATATTATCGTTTGTCATTTTGACTTCAACACATATATTTCTCCAGTTACGATCTTGTGGTCTATATGACAAAAAATATAGTTTGGTGATGATCATAACATAAAATTTATAATATTTTTATCAAATGATTAGTGAGATATGCAAACGATGAGTATAATGAATTAGTGTGATCACCATAAATTTAACGTTATGATCAATGAGATCAACATATGATCAAACTATATTTCTGGTCATATGGATTAATATAAATAAAAAAATTGCGTGTTGAAATCAAAATAGTAAAAATAATGTATTTTTGATATAAAGTCAATTAAATTGCATATTATTGTATTTTTTAGACAGTTTATCTTTTTTATTTTATTAAAAAATAAACAAAAATTACATATTATCTTACAAAGTGTAATTAGTGTGAATATGGAACAAATATTTTTTTAATCTAAAAGTAAACGGGTAAATAAACACGTAAAAAATATATAAAAAAAAAACACACGCCACGCATAAAGTTTCAACGTGGTGAAACCATGCTTGATTTCGTAGATTTGGTAAACACGTTAAATAATAATAATAATAATAATAATAATAATAATAATAATAATAATAATATTACTATTATTATTATTATTATTATTATTATTATTATTATTTTGTTAACGTTGGAACAACCGCATCTATCCAACCCTTACCTGCGGAATCGAACTGGTCACCACCTGTGCCTAACGATCTCAGAGAGACCTGGCCATCAGGTGCGTCTAACGCTCGACCACTACGAGGTGGTCTAAGACGCACAGAGTAAACCCCACACCCACGTGTACGAGTCTGCAACACACACACGGGGGATAAATCAACCGTAACTGACAGACGGCATATATTATTATTATTAAACTATGCTTGATTGAATTACATATTAAAAAGTCAAGAAAATTAATAATTGCGAGCCCTTTGTGTCTAGACTAATTTCATTGGAATCCAATATTTATGTATGCGACTTGCATTTTAAAATTCCTTTTTTTTTTTAATTATTGGTTAGCATCATGTTTCACTTTCACGACCTAATCTTGCTAATTGACGAATTGAACATCAATTATTACTATTTTAAAATATAACATTCTAATTCCATAATACTAATGAAGTAAAAATATTTGTCCATATTAATCGATGAGGGCAGTGGCAGATCCAGAAGAATTTTATAACGGGGGCAAAAAAATAAAAAAAAATATATATAATACAAAAAAATAATAAAATATATGGTATAATTTTTTTTAATTAAAAAGAAAAAGAAAAATTTAAAAATGGAAAATAAGAAGAAAAAAAGGAAAAAATATAGGAGATATAGATTTTTTTATTTGATTTGTTAGATAACGTTTTAAGATACACTCAAAATTCACAAGAATGTTGTCCACAACCAAATTATAATGGGGGTATTAACTGTATTTTTCCAAAATCTTTAATAAATTTTATAAATACTTTTAAAAAAAAATCAGTGGGGGCCAGTGCCCCCATTCATCTTCAAGTGGATCCGCTCCCGGATGAGGCATTTGATCCCTTTATATAACTATATTGTTTAATTTGAATTTTTTAATCAACTGTAATAACAGGGTTAATTACAAGTTATTGGTTCGAAATATTTTGTACAAACTATAAAGCCACAGGAATTACTTAATCCATTTAGTTTTTTTTTATAATCTGCAAGTTCACTGGGTTTTTGACCCGACTATATTTTTTAAAGTAACGGAGACTCGAATCCGGATTAGGAAGGAGTTTTACTACTTTTTTTACCTGTTGAGTCAGTCAATGTTTAATCCATATATATATATATTCATATTTTTATATGCATATTCAACATAAGACGATATAACACCTTCTGAAAAAAAAAAAATTCATGTAATTTGTGGCATACATTGCATCCGACGCATCCTCTTCAAACAAACTCTAACATAGACTAAGATGGTAGATAAAACAAATCATACAAAAAAATGGTTTTTCATCCGCTAAAAATGAATAAATCATTTGAGAAGTGTGATATATTTTTTTAAAAAATGGGAAAATAAATAATTTTTAATTATAACGCAATATGATTTTTCTGCGTTGAATAAAAACAGTGATAAAATAAATGGATTAGATTGCTTTTCAAACTGAAAACAGAATAGAAACTATATTTAGTTTATGACGTATGAATTTTTGAAACTTTTCGGAATAATAATAATAATATTTTTAGAGTAGAGAACAAAATGACACATCAATAGAGTGACATGCGTACGTGGCAGCCATGGATTGCCTGGCTCTTAAAAATAATTTAGATGCCAATGATCGAAGTTCCGACCTAATTTTTCCTTCTCGTCATCAAGTTTTTTCACTCAATCACTGATCCCAATCACATTATTTAATTACGTGTGTATATATATATATATATGTAATCATATCTTGATTAAGATAACTCAATTCCCATCAACTATGACCGGTCGAAATTTTAATCTAAATTTCATAATCTTGTAGAAATTTGAATCAAAATCAAATACGTATATCTCTGTGTGTGTGTGTTGTGTATACGAGGCAAACACGTGGGATAAATCAGGTTCAGGTGGATGGGGTCGTAGTCCACGTGGCCAACAATTTAGCCATTCAGATCTTGACATATGCTTTTCTTTTTTAGAAAAATAATAAAAAATTACTTTGTTCAATATTATATTACATAGAGTGGCTAAAAATAAAGATAGAATCAACATCATATATTGCCCGGCCGTGACAATATTAATGATATATTATAATATAAATTTTGAACTAACCACGAAGTTTGTGGGCCCAAAGACCATAGAGTATATTATAAAACTAAATAATTGAAGGAGAGTTTCTCTCTCTCTCTCTATAACATGATCCTTGGCGGTTTTGAAAAGTTAGGGTTTGAAATCTATTTAGTTAGAGTAATAATATATATATATATATATATATATATATATATATATAATAGAGAACAAAAACGTGATTCTTTGCTACAAATGCAGAATAGATAAATTTCATATGTGAAAATGCAAAATAATTAGTGGTGATATTTTTTTTTTGATATTTTCCCATTTAGTTTTTTTCTATAAAACCAATGTTAATTTCTATTCCTTTTATTAAAAATTACATTTAATCTTTTTAATTATTTTATTCGATACGAACTCAATTAATTTAGTTGTTTTAAAAAAAATATAAGTACTCGATTTATGTTTTTATATAAATTTAAGTAACGACATCAAATTAAATAATAATTGGATTAATGTTGGTTGGTAAAATTGTTAAAAATAAATTATTATATCAAAGTTTTTCTTCCATATTTCTAATTAAATAACATTATCGTAAATTCACGCCAATATCCTAAAACTAAAGGTTAACTAAATTTTTATATAGAGAAAAAAAAACACTGAAAAGATTAATTTGTTTGTAAATAATCTAAATTTATACAAAATCATTAGGTTTTATGTCAAATTTCGTCCAAAATCATTAACTACAACAATCAATGTCAATCATCCGTATATTACATTTTCTTTAATATTATATATTTTAAAAAAGATAAAAACCAGTCAACATGGAAAACTAAAATTAAGATTTTGAGAGAGATGCGAAAACTGTATAGATATATGATTAAACGGTCTAAAATTATATAAAAGAATTAAGTGAGACTCAGATGTGGATCCATGTATAGTTCAACAGAGTCTTGTGCCCCCTAAAATTTTTAATTTTTTTTTCTAATTTTTTAAAATTTTTGATAAATAATGTAAAAGGCTACATTAAAATTTTATGTGTACCCCCTTCTTCCCACTTTTTTTTTTAATCTCTTTTTTAAAAAAAAAAATTAAGTTACATGTTGTCTCTTTTTTATTTTTTTATTTTCCAACTATTTTTTAATCTTTCTCTTTGTTGATTTTAAAAAATATTATCTATAGATCTAATATTAAAAAACAATCAAATTAAAAGTATTAAAGTTTTATAAATTTTAAATAATTATATTTTTATTTATTCATCAATTTATATATTTTGATGATACTCACAAATTTGTT